CCGAGAGGGGCGGCGGCCGGCGCCGAGGCGGCGGCGGCGAGGGCGGGGCCTAAGAGACGGGGGTCGGTGCAAACGGGGGTCGGCCAGGGCGCCCGAGCTTGCAGGATCCTGCAGGCTCGCATCGGCCCGGGTTTTTTTTTGCGTGCAGGAGCCCGCAGGAGCCCTGCAGGATCCTTCGCTCGGGTCGGGCGAAAGGGGGGGATTGGGAAAGGGGGGGTTACGAAATTTGCTGCACGCAGCTGGTTTCGGCCCCACCGAGGGGCCCATTCCTCGATACATAGCCGCCTCCGGCGCCCGGAGGCGCCGGGAAAATCAGCTACGTGAGCTGATTCTCACCCCCCCCCGTTGCTATCCCCCCCTTTCGCCCGACCCGATTCGCGTTGGCCCGGGTTGGGGTCCAGGAGCCCTGCAGGATGTTGCAAGGCCTGACTGGCCCGGGTTTGGATTGACCCGGGTCAGAAGCTCCCCGAGCGAGGGCGGCGAGGCGGCGAGGGGCCGACGGCCAGCGGGGGCGACGCACTTCGGGAGTCAGCAGGTCGTGGCAGTGGCGAGGCGTCCTGACCTTCTAATTATGGTGGATTTGTATTTTTGCGTCGCCTTCAGCTTCTCGTCGTTTCTGGCCTCTGGGGGGCACTTCTGAGCCCCAGACCGTCAGAAACGGACCCGCCGTCAAGAAAAACGACCCACCCCTGCAACACTCCGACACGACTAGCAACACCTTTGCGTGCGGGGGCGCCGCAAGGAGCCCTTTCCGCCCGCCTCTGCCGCTCCTCCCCCCTGTTCCGCTTCTTGGTTGTAGCCATGTCGGCACCGCCCGCCAACCGAGGCGCCTCCTTCCCCCGCCTCCCTTGTCTCTCCTGTCTGTAGCAATTTTGGCCCATCCGCCCCGCTATACCGGAAGCGCAGCTGTCCCCCTTCCGCTGAAGCGGCGCCGCTTGCGTCGCGCCTGTCGCGCTCCTGCAATCGGCCAGGCGTCGGCGTTCATCACCTGCGCCTTCAATATTGCGGGCGCCCCCTCCCCCCCTGATTCGCCCGAGCATTGGAAGCATTTTGTGGATCAAGCGCCCCCCCCCCATGTTTTTGCGAATCACACGCTGACACTACCCACGCAGCGCACGAGGCGGCAACGACGCGGCAAGTACGCGGCGACGACTCCGCTACGAGGCGGCGGCGAGCGGCAGCGTGGCGAGTCCCCCCCACAGGCGGCAGCGGGCGGTAACGTGGCGAATCTTCGGCACGCGGGCGGCAACATGGCGGACCCCCGTCATGCCTGCAGCGCACGAGGCGGCAACGCGGCGGCCACTGGCGGCAACGTCGCAAATCTTCGGGATAACCAGAGCTCGCGAGGCGGCTGCGACGCGGCAGCGGGTGGCAACGGGGAGCAACGTGTCGAATCTCCCATGTACCCACAGCGCACGTGGCGGCAACGAGGTGGCAATGAAAGGCAACGGGCGGCAACGTTGCGAATCTTCGGCGTACCCGCACAGGTGGCAACGGGCAGCGGCGTGGCACATGTATGACATACTCCCACACGCGGCAATGGTCGGCAACGCGGTGAATCGTCGACATACCCCACAGACGGCAATGGCAACGTTGCGAGTCTTCGGCATGTTCCGACACCACATGCGGCAACATGGCGGCAACGTGGCGAATCTTCGGCTTACCACCACAGCCGGCGACGAGGCGACAGCTGGCACCAACTGGTGGCGCCGTGGCGGATCCTCGGCGTACCCACGCACCGCACGAGGCGGCAACGACGTGGCAACGAAGTGGCAACGGGCGGCAACGTGGCGATTCTTCGGCATATCCTCGCAGGTGGGGACGGGCGGCAACGTGGCGAAAACCTGGAACCGGCAACATATCTAACTTAGTTATCGAAGCACGATGCCTTAATGCGAGCGTTGTTTGGGGAGTCTTCTCTTGAAGCTCTGCGCGGACCTCTCGGATTTTCGCTGGGCCCCCTTGGCGGCGCCGCCCCTGGCTCGCTCCGCGCGGCAAGGAAGGGGGGCTCCAGCGCGGATCCAGTTCTTCCGTGCGGAATTCCGAACGTCGATGTTAAATGTTTGCAGTTCGTCTGCCTGAACAATCGTTCTGCCTTCTCGGAAGGTTGTGCCCCCCCTAGGTCTTTGTCCGATTTCCGTGCCGCCAAGGGCGGACATGCTTTACAGCAGGTTCCAGCCCTTGCGGCGACACCATTTATATGTATATGTATATGTATATGTATATATATATATATAACGTTGAGAGCGGTTTCCGCCGGTTTACCGATCGATGTTTTCGCAGTAGTTGTGGGCGCAGGTTTTGTTGCGTTTTCAGGTCTGGGTTCTGCCCGTAGCTCACCTGCCCGTTTGTTTATTTTTCGGTTACAACGCCGCTTGCTTGACGCCCATTCTGGGTGCAGTTGAATTTGAAAGTTCTGGTACAGTCAGTAGGGACAAGCGGAAATTGAAACAACAATGCCCTCACTGTTTTGTGTAATTGTCAATAGAAAAAGACCCACCTCGCGAATTCCATTCGGCGGCGAAGACGGGGGAAGTAAGAAAGAACAGGCCTTCTCAGAAGTCGGCGGGACTCCTCAGAGGCCCTCGCGCCTTCTGAGAAGTTTCCCGTGTCTTCCGGGAAGGTTCAGAAAATTTCTACTTCGAGCCTTCTGAAAGGGTATACTATTTCTCGGACGCCTGGTGGTTTCTGGGTCATACCTCGACGAATCGCCGGCGGCCGTTCGGGACGATCCGGGCACCCCAAGAACGCCTTCGGCGAGGCGCAGCCGCTGGAACGCACCCCGAAGCTAGAAAACCGCAGAGCGTCTGAAGACCTCGAACCCCCCTCTCACAGCCCCCCCCCGAGGGTTCGGGCCGGGCGAAAGGAGGGGATTGGGAAAGGGGGGGTTACGAAATTTGCTGCATGCAGCTGGTTTCGGCCTCACCGAGGGGCCCATTCCTCGATACATAGCCGCCTCCGGCGCCGGGAGGCGCCGGGAAAATCAGCTACGTGAGCTGATTCTCACCCCCCCCCCGTTGCTATCCCCCCCTTTCGCCCGACCCGAAGGGTCGCCGCGAACTCCGTACAGTCGTGGAGTCGACGGCCCCCGAGGACCTCCAGGAGAGGAGATCCTGCACGGGTCTCAGGCCCACGCCGCCGCGACAGGGCCCCTGCCTCGGGCCTCGCGAGCGCGCGAGCCGAGCGGCCGCCTTTGTGGTGGCCCAGCGCGCTCTGGCAGCGAGGGGGCGCTGTGGTGCGACTTGGCATCTCGGACGTGTGCATTTTTCCGTCGGCGAGGACCATCGAGGAGCATCCTTGATCATTTCGCGAAAAAGCCACGCACGAAACCGAAAAAACACAGGAAATGGACGTCCGAGCGATGGCCAGGCGACGGGTCCGCATGGGGGAGACGGGTCCTGAGGGAGGCGGGTCCTGTCGCAGGCCTAGAGATGGACACCAGCACCGATAGTGGCGGTGTGCCTCCACCGGGGGAGGGCGAGTCCGGTCTCGGCGATGACGGTGATCTTCTGGCTTCCGAGGTGGCCGAAACACTGCCACCAGCACCGACATCGAGGATCAGCTTCCCCACGCGGAGGCCATTTCTAGGCCTCCAATCCTGAGGGTCCATTTCTAGGCCTCCAATCCTGAGGGTCCATTTCTAGGCCCACGCGGAGCCCCCTGTGCTGGTGTTCGTATCCAGCTCTATGGCCTCCAATTCTGAGGGTCTTCCCCCGGGGCCCTCCGCGGGCCCTGCAGCCGTCGTAAGAGACGACGCGGGATGCGGAGCTCGGTCCCGGGTGGAGGCCCCGGGGTCCGGGACCCGTCTCCAGACCCGTTTCCCCATGCTGAGACGGGGCACAACGGCGGCAGCATGGGAGGTCGCGTCCCCCTCTTCTGAGCGGCCGCGTCGAGCGGCCGAGCCCGAGAGAGGCTCATCCCTCATCCGTGGAGCCGAGGGGCGGCTTTCTTGGCTGCGGTCGTCTGCAAGTCTTGGCATCCGCCTCCCTCGCCATCCCTCCCACCCTCTCCTCTTCCCGCCTCCCTCCTCCCTCCTCCCCCCCCTACCCTCCCCGAGGGGCATCCCCACCGTATTGACTGACGGGTGTGCAGTGCCCTCATTTCCTCCTTCCTCCTCTCAGGAGGAACAGAAACACACAGACACAATTCATCCTCGATTCCCCCGAAAATATGGGAACCTATGGGAAGTGTGGGGGGGGGAAGACAGAGACCCAGAACATATGGGAAGATATGGGGGATATGTTTATTTGTGTGTATTTATTTGTGTGTGTCCTGGGACCCCTTCCTCCTCCCCCCACCCGCACCAGCGGGTCGGCAGCGGAAGCTTTGGACTTGCATTCGACACGGGCTGCCACGGGCCCGCCGCAGCCCAGGCCGACCGAACCGGCCTCGGCGTCTGACAGCGGAGGCCGCCCGTCCCCCCCTCCTTCTCCTCTCCCTCCCTCTCCTCCCATATCTTCCCCTTCTCCCTCCCCCCTCTTCTCCCTCCCCCCTCTCTCTCCTCCCCCTCTCCTCCCTTTCTCTCTCTCTCTCTCTCCCCCCAGTGTTCCTCCCCCTCTCTTCTCTCTCCCTCTCCCACATCCTCCTCCCTCTCTCCCCCCGTCCCCCCACCGAGAGGCCAGGGTGAGAGGAAGGGTATGGGCACCCCTCAGGGACGACGCGGTGCGGGGAACAGGCGACGTAAACTCATCCAGTTCGTGTCTCACACGCGCGCCGTGGAGCCTCGGAGAGTGTGGCAGGTCAGGAGATGCAAAGGGCCATCTTTGGCGCATGCTCCTGGGCGAGGAAGGCGGGACGAGGATTACATGAGGCGTTGGAGGTGCATGAGGTGGGGACGGGCAAAGGAGGGGAGGCAAGGAGGGGGGGGGACGCAGACTTTGCAGCATCGCCACCGCCGCAACCTATGCTGCACGCCACTTGCACCCATGCATCTGCGGTAGGTCATACAAGACTTTGAGATCGTGAAGCCTTTGGGCAAGGGGAAGTTCTCCATCGTCTACATGGCACGCTCGCGATCGTGCGCTGCTCTTGTCTCCCGGCTACATCTCGACTGTCACTGCATGAGGCAGCAATGGTGTGCGTCTGTGTTCCATTGACCACGACTGTGCGCCATACGTATGGCCGCGATGCGAGAGAACAAACAGGCACGCAGCATAGTGTTCGTTTGTTATGTCTTTGTTTGCTGATCGGCGCGGGCCCTCGCACCCCCCCCTCCCCGCCCCCCTTCCTGGAGTTGATCTTGGCTGTTTTAGGCGCCTGTTTCAGGCAGGGGGAGCCGCTCCCACACAGGACGCACTGCTGCAAACAGTCGCACTAAGCAGGGGTCTGGAGCCAGACGCCCCCCCTCCCCCCCCTTCCGCCCAATGTGGAAACGCCGAAAAACAACACGCTCACATATGGCTGCGATGCACTGCTCGTGTAGCGACGTTGGTTTCCGGTCCGTCTGTTCGATCGTTCTTTTGTGCAGTGTTGGTTGCGTTGGCTTCTTCTTCAGCAGAGGCAACGGCTGGACGGTCATACCCTTTTGGCAGGCAAGGGCAGGTGCTAGGCGGGGTCTCGTTGGACTCGTCCCCTCTGGTCTCCTCCTACCCCTCCTCCTTCTCCTTTGCTCCCCTCCGTAGTCATGTTGTCTTAAAGTCGTAACGCGGATCGCGGTGCCACGAGCTTGGTCGCAGCCGAAGGGCTGGTCCAAGTTCTCTTGGCCGATAGGAGGCCCACAGTCCACACCTAAGGTCACTCCTGTGCAGCTTTGTATAGCTACGGCGACTGCAGAGCAGATCTAAGCGACAGACTGGGGTGCAGGCCTCGATATCGGAGAATGTCGACAGTCTGCGCAGCGCCCAGACGGCCGAGGTGAAGGACCTCAGTGACAAGATTGGGCAGTCGAATCGACAGCAGGCCGACCTTTCGAAGGAGATCGACCAACCACCATGCTGCTCAGGTCAAGGTCCTACAGGACCAGTATGTCCCGATGTCCAAGCCGGTGTCGGAAGCCAGTACTACGTCGGGGTACGCTGGCAACAAGAGACAGAGGATAGACCGCGCAGGAGGTCCACATCATCACACATATGCATGCGCGAGATGGATCTGAGCTTAGCGCGCGCCGTTGCTTGCCATAGTCCGTGAACAGTTTCACGAATCCATTGCCGACAAATTCGCCTCGTTCGCGGGGGCCCGCATATGGTGCCACAAGTTTGCCTAGAGCTACAAGGCCGTCTTCCCGTCGGAAAAGCAGGCCAAAGCTCTCTTCGTAGCTTTCTCCGCGGAAACCTCTGTTCGGCCATTGACATGGCCCGACCCCCGCACCAACATGGTCGCCAACATCCGCGTCAGGGGCGGTTTGCCGTTCGACGTCAGAGCCAAGCAGGGCCGCCAAGCTCCACGTCGACACTCGTTCCATCGCCGAGGCCAGTGGGCAGTGGGATGCCAGCGCCGAGCTCGGCGCCAACGGCTTCAAGGGGGTCCTGACCACTGCCGCGGCCGAGGACGCGTGGGAAATGATCAAATTACCACCCGGGGGGCAAGGCAAGCTTCGTTTCGAGCCCGAGGAGGCCGCGATCCGCTCCGGAAGCGCCGACAGGCAACACATCCGGGACGTGACCACGGCGGCCACGAGGCATGCTACGATGGCGGGCTTGAGAGCCTACGGTAGGTTCGCGTCGTGTCGACCAGCGGCGACCCCGCCGCCGACGTTCAACGTTGAACGCCGACGGCGGCCCAGAGTCGGTCGATGTTGAACGATCGGACGTTGCGGAGACGGCCGATCGTTCAAGGTTGAACGATCCAGCGCGGTGTCAGGAACCAACGCCAGGGTCGACACGGCACGGACCTTCAGTACTTTAAACATATTCCACGCGCAGGCTACTCCGGATTGCATAACAAAGGGGGGTGGGTCACATGTGTGTGGGGGGGTCTGATTCGAGCTGTCTTGGAGGTTCGGAGGGGACCTGGGCAAAGGGCCGCCCTTTCATGGATGGTCTGGGGGGGTCCAAAATTTCTTGTCTGGAGGGTTGTGGCCCCCTCACTTTTATCACGAAATCTGGAGTACCCCATCCACGTTCGGCGAGCGATGAAGACGATGCGCGGGGCGTTCGAGCACCTGCGCCGCATCTACCTGAGCGATCTGGCGACCTTCCTGGTCCGCCGGCTCCGACTCGGAGCCCCGCGCTTCCCCCTCCTTCTATTGGTCCTCCTCCGCCCGACGGGGGCCCTCGCCGAGTGGGGCTCTTTTTTTTTTGCCTGTGGCAGTTCGCCCCGTTCAGCGCGGCGCCGTGGAATGTCCAATCTCTTCTAAGCTCGCAGCTCCGTCGAAGAGTCAGGCCGCACTCTGGAGTCTGAAAGCGATGTTAAAGCCTACCCTGGGTCGCGCATCCAGGAGCCCCGTGGGGCCTCTGGGCAGTGGGAAACTTTCGGTCGAGAGTTTCGCGAGCGCTGCGCTCTCGGCGCGGCTTGTAGCTCGTTAGCGTTGGGGGGAATGCAGCTGTACAGTCGGGGCCCTGAAGAAGGAACCTTTTTCGTTGGGGGGGGCTCCGCGTTCCTTACTGTTTTCACAGCTGGCCTCCGGCTTGTCTTATGTTTTCTATAGGAACTCGAAGTCTAACTTATCCCATTTAGGGTTCCTTAGGTCAACGCCCCGACTGCAGCCTCGCGGCCCGTCTCCCTCCTCCCCCGCGCCGACTTCCACGAGGTCGAGGCTGGCCGGACTTCGACCCTGGCAGTGCGCAGTGGCGTCGAGGGTGCCTGCAGATCGCCGGCGTCCACGCTGGCCCGGAGCGGGCGGCGGCATATGCGGGCGCCCCATGCCGGACTGCTGACTGCCAATTGACGCGTACATTGAGGAATTGGCCGTTTTCGGTTCGCGAGGGGGCGTCGCGGCCGTCGTTCTTGCGGGCCCAGGTCCGTCGGTTTCGGTCCCGGGCCGTTTTCACTGAGGGGAGGTCTACTGAAGGGAGGTTTGTCCACCGCCGATCATTGCTGGCTGCGGGGAAACATGCAGAGGCCAGGTTTTCGGCGACCGCCTGGGCGAGAGGGGATGCAGCGCCCCAGGCTGGCTGACGTCGCGTCGGGGTGATATGTGCTAAGCCGGGCCAGGCAGGGGGAGGTCACCCGTCGGCGCGCCCGGAGCCCGCGAAATCAGGATGGAGACCCCGAACTTGGTTAAGATCATCCTTTTGGCCGGTTGGACAGAATCTACACGAACGTCCCCGCTGGTGCTATCCTGGATTTGCTTCCGCAGAGTTCGACGTTCAGCAGCGTCGCAGACGTCGAGATACCGTCTGACCGCGCGCAGGTGTTCTTCTGTATTCGCGCTATTTTTCACCAGCGGCTGATTGACCCTCCTGGGCCCGCGCGGCTCATTACGCTTCGCGAGCTCAGCGAGTCCTTCGCCGGGGCGCGCGAGGCCGGCGCCAACTTCTGACCGCCCGCCTTCCGAGCTCCTCGAAATGAAGGACCCCCCGAGGCGCGCTGCGAGGAGGCCTGGCTGGGAGCGTCGCGGAGGCCAGCGGCGCTGGCGACCTTGCCCCCCGAGCCGGCCGTTGTCTGAGGCCCCTTGTGGCCCTTCCGCGTGGGGCCCCCGTGGGCTTGCCGCTCGGGGCTCTTCGCGGGCCCCCTGCGCCTCGCGGCTTCTGCGGCGCGTCTCGGGGGGCCGCTGGCTCGACTGGGCGGGCCCCCGCGGCCTCCTCGGCGACGCAGTGTAGACCCAGTTTGTCAGGGGGGAAAGAAACGCACAGACACAATTAATCGTCGGCCCCCCCGGCCTCCTCGGCGACGCAGTGTAGACCCAGTTTGGCCAGGGGGGGGGGCTTCGCCCCGCGCGTTGCGAGCCCGCTTTCTGGGCAGGGGGAATACAGTCGGGGCGCTGAAGAAGGAGCCCTTTTCGTTGGGGAGGGGCCCGGTGTTCCTTGATTGTTTCGCAGTTTGCCCCGCGTTTTCCTTTGGTTTTCGAAGGGAAATCGAAGTTCAACATCTGGGGGAAAGAGGCCTCGTTCCTTATTTAGGGTTCCTTAGGTCAGCGCCCCGACTGCTTCTTCTGCACGGGGCGCCGCGCGCCCGCGCGCCCGTCTGGCGGGCGCGCGGGGCGGCCGAGGAGGCGTCGTCCGCGCTGGCCCGTTCGAGGCCGCCGGTCTGCTCGGCGCGCCGTTGGGCGAGAGAGTCTGCGCGGGCCCGAAATTGCCCCCGCCCCATATTGTGGCATATTCCAGGAGGGGGGAAATACACACAGGCACAATGAATCGTCGACCCCCAGGAAAATATTGGAATTAATGGGCATTGGGGGGGGGAAGACAGAAACCCAGCAAATATTGGAAAATACAACCCCCTGGATTAAAAAGTGGAGACCGCAGGGGCCGAGGCAGACGTGGTTTGCCTCCCGTTAGGCAGCGGGGCCCCGGGACAATGTTGGATTTGTTGCCAATTCCGGAGTTTCCGGTGCCTCCATCATCCCTTTTAATATTATAAAGGCCAAATGGGGCTCCGACCGGAAAGTGGGATTCTGCCTAGGACTTCCTCAAAAAAAAGTTCCGGTCGCCTTCCAGGGCGACCGGAAATTCTGCCATGCCACCGGAAAGTGGCGATTCCGCGTGGGACTTCCTCAAAAAAATATGCCGGTCCCTTTTGAGGCCGCCAGACAGTGGCGATTTCGCGTGGGACTTCCTCACACATTACTTTTTGTCGCATCTCATGCCACCAGAAAACGACGATTTCGCTTGAGACTTCCTGACATTCGAGACACAGACGCCGCGGACCTATTCCTCTTTCCACTCTCTCCTCTTATCATCACAGTATTGGATTGTTCCGTGTCGCATGCTCTCCGTACAAGTCAGATTCCAGTTGCCACAGCCTCGCGCGCGCGGTCCTATCTGCGCCTGGGCGGATGTCCGCAGGGATGGCCGTTGCATCGTTCGGTTCACAGGTTTGTCTTGGAGTCATCTTGAGGCCATCTTGAGGTCGCGTCGGGTCGCAGGCCCCCCTGTGGGAGGTTCGATCCCAGGGTCATTTTGGG